GACAGCCGCCACAACCACCGACTGTGGTTGGGAGTGCTGCTGGCGGCGGCGGGCAGAATAACTTATGCTCTAAATGAAATTTCATTAAAATATAATATTTGCTTGGAGACAGGACATTTCTGTGTTCCTAGAGGCGAGGCAGGGCGTTTCGTGGCGTCACATGTGACATGCGTTTAAATAAATGTTGCACTTGATCCTGCTCCACACTGGCAGCGACCGGCAACATCTGTGTGCCTTTGCAGCTGCATGCAAATTGGAGCGTTATTATATTGCACAGCCATCGGGCTAAGGGGCTCTGATGTATGGGAATTTGTGCGGTACGCAACTCGCTTCTACTTGTACTCCTCCTTCCCCGTCTTCTCTCCCTCTCTCTGGAGAGCGACAGTTGCTGACGTTGAAAGCATTTGACTTTTTGGCATTTGACTTTTTGGCCGGGCCCGGCCCCCAAGCTGGATCCGAATCTCTGGGGACGTTGTTTCAACAAAACTATTTCCATGGGAAAAGTCTCTGATTTATGCATGTTCTGTTCTGCCACATGAGGCCTTTGCTTCTGCCCCATCCGACCATCCGTCCATCCATCCAACCAGTCCACATTGTTTGATTAATTTCATAAGCTTCGCTGTGCCGCTGCCGCTGCCGCTGCCGCTGTCTTCCTGTTGCCTGCCACCGCCTGCCAGCAATTACGTCACAAAAAGGACAACATTCCAGGAGCGCCCCCAGCAGGGGAGACACGTGGCACTTGTGTGTATGTGTTTGCGTGAGCTTTAATTGTTCACCAGAAAGTGCTGTGGCAAACACTTGAAGGGCTTAAAGAGCTTGACCATCATTCGGGGCAGCTCGAACGGCCTTTTGGGACAGCAAAGTACAGTGGCTGCCACCCGACAAAAGGAAATCTGAGTCGCGTGTAATGGGACTAGAACGAGAATTCAGGGAATATACAGGAGAAAATATATTTGGAAAATTCTCGGGAAATCTTCAAATCACTCGAGCTCTTTCCTTTTGTTGTGGTTCTGCCAAGGCAACTAAAATAATTACACTGATTTTTCATTTCTTGAGTCATTTAACATTCATAAAATACATTCATGCAATCTCTTATTTCTGGTTGCTGTTACTGGACTTTGGCATTGTGTTCCATAAGCCAAGGCAGGCTGGTCGAACTAATCCCCAGATGTCGACAGCTAGCCTTAGCATCCAACCTCCCCCCCCGAGATGAAGCCTTTATTATAACATTCAGATGGATGTGCAATTTCTTGTAAATTTAATTTCCTGCTTTACATTTCTGCTCATTTCGCTGGCAATCTCTGACTTTTGCTCTTGTTGGATTTGCATTTTTGGCAGGCGAGCAATGACGCTGCTGCTCTGATGGCTTCTACATTGCTCATCATCTGTGCAGAATTCATTTCCTCATTTTTGGACGTACAAATAGTGAATGAATCATTTGCTGCAGAGCTTCCCTAGTTGTCACTGAATTTCAATAGTTAATTGGTTTTGGAATCCTATCATAGATATTCATTTGTGGTCTTCCAATGGCATGCTAATTGTTGATTAGTCCTTGAACTTTCAAAACTTTATTGTTATGGGCTGGTCGACATGTGTATTTGGTGCTGAAAATTGTTTGCCAATCAAATCAGTGGAAAATGTCGCAGCTTTAGATACCCTTGTGGGTGCAGCTATTAATGTGTGATTTGGGCGGGCTTCCTACATTCACCCCATTCCTACATACCCTGTGTAAGGGTATTTACTCAGCACAAAGCCCCAAAGCCAAAAGTTATGTGCAAAAATGTTTTCCCTGCCAATGAGACGTGAACTTTTATGGTGCTCTGCCTCTCACTCTCTCTCTCTCTCTCAGTTCTCGCTCTTGCCTCTGCCGCCCTCTCATGTCAAGAAAACTAATTGATTTTAAAATAAATAATGACTAATCGCCACCTGCAGCAAAGGAAACGGAACCCCACAGTTTTCTAGTGGGGCGAAAATGTTATGTGGGTCGAATTCGATAGCTCTGCGCAGATACGGGATAACCCGTGGCCGTGCATAGGGATCCTTTCCTTTCCACCTCTTGATTAATTGAAATTTCACTCACTGTCAAGGTGTACTACGTGTGTTTGTATTCCCACCCGAAGTTTGCTTGTGTGTGGGCGTGGCAGAAGGTCGGAAGAACCCATTTTCAAATTAATTAAGTGCGCTAATTTTGGCAAAAAGGTTTTTTAATTGATGGGTGAGAAGCGTTGAGGAACTTATTTACCACCGAAATACTCGTGCTTCCTTCAGTGAATGAAATTCCATTTGCACTCAGGCAACGAGTTTTAAGCTGTTAAAACTTTAACCTGTTTGAATGATTTCAATGTTTTATTTGATTTGATAATTGCATAATCTCTGGGCGAATTATTCCATTTAATGCTTGAAGATTTTCCATTGAAGGGAAAGTCTAATCGGCTTATTTTGATCTTAAATGCCACTCAATCGGGACAAAAGACAGCAGGCAAATTGAGAAGAAATAACAGCAATAGCTGATAATGAACACAAATACATAGCAATGATAAATGGACCCTTTTTCATGTGAAATTCGCTTCTCTATGGTTCAGAGTTTGCTCATTTCCACACTCATTTTCTCCACATGTGTTCTGACTCTTTGCACTTTGGTTTCCCCCTCAATTTGCATTCAATATGAGTGCATGAATGTGTCAGCAAGCTGCCTGTTCTATTGCCTTGTGGATTAGCTGCTCTTGATGATGATTTTCACACCAAAGTCTGTACACTTTACTGGCATTTTGTGGTGCTGTGATGATTTGGTAATTGTGCTGCAAGTGGGCAGTTGGCCCAATGAATGGATCGGCAAATAGTAATGTGATTGCTGGCCATTCGAGATTTAGACTCTGCGTCGATTCCAGTCAGATGCAGGAATGCAAGAAATACAACAGGACTGCCACTCTATGTATGCGTGTAGTTCATAGCTATTCAGGCTCTTTTCAACATTTCCTTTTGGCAAGTAATGACCCAAAAATCTACATTTCTCTTGCTACATTTGCTGCTGTATGGCGGCAGATAGTATGCCCAGCACATTTACATACATATCTGGCCTAATGCTATGCCCGAGGGTATGGGTTGGGCCGGGGCACCCCACGACATGCCATCCCCTGGCTGTGTGCCAGGGGCAAAATTCTGCTCTAGCAGGATACTCCATCCTGCACGCAACAGAGAGCAGTCTTCCTGCAGCCTTCTCTTGTGTTTGTCCTTCGACAATATTCAAAAACTGATTTTCATATGTCTCTCAAGTTTATTTGCGACCAGGCAGATTGTGGGTAGGAACACACGGTTCCGCCCTGCCGCTGGGGCACTCGTCTCCAGCTTCGTATCTGTATCTCTGCCGTCAGTCTCTGCTGGTGCTGCTGATGCTGCCACTGCTGCTCCTGCTTCTGCTACTGCTGAAGTCTTATCATCCCTCGCACACGCACCAAAGTTGGCCGAGTGCTTGCGAATTTTTCCTTCCAACTTTTTTTCTTTTCTTTATTGGGTCCCGAATTAAATTCGCAGCACACACTCCCACGGAAAAAGGGAAGTCGGGGCGAGACCCAGGGAATGGCAGGCCGACTCCTGTGTAAGTTTTTTGAAAAGCGATTTCGAATGCAAATTTCATTGGGCCCCCCAGTTCGTGTTCTCCATTCCCGTTGTGTGTGTATGTGGAGATGGAGATTAAAATCAATTCAATTTGCAGCAGACCAAGCAAAAGTGGTAATAATTTTTGTTCTTTGTTTTCCACGCACCCTGCGGAAATTCCCATTTTGCTTGCCTTTACATTCTTTTACTTAAAATAATGAGATTTTAAGCTGAAGTAAATTTGCGTTGAGCCGTTGGCATTGGCTTAAACGATGTTGGGAAATGGAATTGAGGTTTTCCGAGCACTAGCCGGAGCAGGAATCTATAGGATCTGTGCACAGTCAGCTGGCTCTTAATTGACTCATTTCTTAGCTCATTCGATACCTAGCCAGACAGACACACTGCCTGCCGACAATATATCACACGTTATGCACCATTAAGTGTTCATTTAATAGCGTGCCATTTATCAATTCTGCCGTCGATGCTGCCAAATGTTGAGTAAAAGTCGCAGGATGAGCCAGATACCTGGGCGGGCTGTTGGCAGCTGCCAGTTTCTAGGAAAAATCATGAATAATAAAAAAAAATATAAAGGGAGAAGTGGAAGCAGAGGCAAGACATCTGAAGCTGTGTTTGTCATAATAAAAGTTACTTCAAAAATTGTACGAGAATATCTGAGCGTGCATAAATCAACGTCCTGTCCACACGCTGCTGCGCATTCCCGTTTCTGGCCAATCGGGCGCTTGATCTGCGCCAGGTACAGCATGGCGTATGCGTGATTTATATGCTGCCAAGCATCGAAATTATGTTTCAAATATATTTTCCAGCGGAGTTCTCATAATTAGTCAGCGCAACAAAATACATCCATTGAGCTCATCCCAGGCACCGGCGTACCCGGATTAGCTTTGCAGCCAATTCCTTAAGGGGTTTGTCTTGTGTGTTAGTGTTTATTTTACGCTCGTAAATTAACAAACTTGAGCCAAGTTGATGGATAGAGTACTCTGGGAGTGTATCTCGTACCTCATATCTATGTATGTGTCCCGTGTTCCGTGTCCTGTGTTTGCTTAGGCAGAGTGCACAGCTGGCAGGTGCAGATGGAGATGCAGCGGCTCCTGTTGCTTTTGCTCTTGCCAGACTCCCAACAGGCTGCCGCAATTTATTGCTGTCTTGTTCCGCCTTTGGGGCAATCAAATACCAAAATGCCTTCGCTGCGCTTTGACATTTAATTGCGTCGTTCTGCGGTCTGCGTTGTTTATGAAATACGAGTATTTTTGTGCTTTACTTTGCTCAGCCCCCACCCAGTCTGTGTCTTTCCCCACTATCCTCCATCTATCTACGAGTATTTGCCAGAGCAGTCTCATGTGTTTGACGATTTTAACCATCGGCAACCCTGTCAACGCACCGGTTTCCATTTTGTTGATTGGTCTGTGGAGTGAATGCAGCTAAGGATAACGTCCCCCTAAGTCCTTTCGCACATCAGGATTACTTTATTGAATGCAATATTTTGTGATTTGCCTGTCGCCTAAGTGCGCTTGCCCTTGCTCCGACGTATGCCGGGCTTATCCTTGTTCGCACGGAAGCCGTGCCTATGCCTCAGTCTTTCCAACATGTGATTACAACATGCGTTTCTTGTGCTTTGACCGCCAGCTTAAGCCTTTGCTCCACCTTTTGCGCTTGCCCCGACGTGTTCGATGGCTGGCGCCCGTTCGGCGACGCACCGTGATGGATTCGACTTCCTCCACAGATATCTCCTTGTTGGCGTCGTAGTGGTACGAATAGCACTTAACGTGTCCATTCTCGATCAGGCACAGCCAGCTGAGGTCGGTCCACTCGCTGGTTGGCGTCTGAGTCTCGCAAGAGGCGCCCTGGCAAGGTTCATTGCCAGAGAAATCGTAGTCCGAATCTGTACCCATCTGTGCCGAGGAAGCTTGGCCGGAAGGCTTTGGCCCTTCCAGAGGATGTCTATCAAAACTCTGCTTCGGATTAGCTTCAGGAATCCCAGGGACAGCTCCAGGCATTACTCCAGGGACGGTTCCAGGAACACCTCCAGGGAGACTTCCAGGGAGACCTCCAGCGACGGTTCCAGGAACAGCTCCAGGGACACCACCGGGAACACCTCCAGGGACAGCCCCAAGAACGGTTCCAGGGGAAGCACCAGGGACAGCTCCAGGGAGACCTCCAGGGGCGGTTCCAGGGACGGTTCCAGGGGCACCTCCAGGAACACCTCCAGCTGCAGCTCCAGGGACACCTTCAGGGACAGCCCCAGGAACGGTTCCAGGGACAGCACCAGGGATAGCTTCAGGGACAGCGCCAGGGACTGTTCCAGGGACAGCACCAGGGATAGCTTCAGGGACAGCGCCAGGGACTGTTCCAGGGACGGTTCCAGGCACAACTCCAGGAACACCACCAGGGACACCCCCAGGAATACCTACAGGAACACCATCAGGAACAGCTCCAGGGACAGCTCCAGGGATAACTCCAGGGACAGCTCCAGGGATAACTCCAGGGGCAGCACCAGGGACAGTTGCAACCGGAGTGCCTGGTGGTCTGTTGACGGTACACCAGACGTGCAGCTTATCAACCATATCCTGGATGGTCGTACCGGCCAAGAGCTCTTTCATAACGAGTTCGCTGATTGAGTTAACGACATCAGTGTTTATGGGCACTCCAGGGCTGAACTTTTCCACCTGCTTGATGATCACCTTGGTGGCCCCCATGACCGCTACCTCCATAAGCTCGTCCTTGGTGATCTCTGGTGCACACAGTTCTTCCGTCTGCCTCGGTGGCAGCTCTGCATGAGATTGACGGTGCGCTTGAGATTGAGGGTCGGTACCAGGGTCAGCTCCAGGAATAGCTCCAGGAAGAGTTCCAGGGACAGTACCAGGGACAGCTCCTGGAATAGCTCCAGCAATAGCTCCAAGGACAGCTCCAGGCACAGATCTGGGTTGTACTTCAGTACGTCGGCGTGTATGGTGAGAGTGATGACGGTGGCTTCTGGCCTCCAGGAAGTTCAGCGGTCCAATCATTGCGCCCAGCCAGAGCAGCAGCCACAGAGATTGTTTCTACAAAGGGAGATAATGTAACACAATCCTACGGACACGCAGTGTCCCAATAGATTTCACCATTTCAATCTTCTAGTGGCAGCCACCTTCAAGTTTGGTGTTTGGATTTCAATTGAAAGGGGAACATTTGCATTGATTTTTACTGGATTTGGTCTATCCTAAGATTTCAAGCTCATTTGTCATGAAACTGAGATTAGCAACGCCTCAAGTCCATAGTGTTCGTATTATATAAGCTCCCATGTGAAGCAAATTACTGAGATTATCATGCCGTCCCATGCTGTGAGAGAACGGTCACACTGCCACAATTATTCCACTGGAAACGGTTATGCAACAAATCCGATTCTCAAAAGACTTCCCCGATCAAATTCGATTCAATCTGATCCTCTATGGGCTGGCATTCGCCATACTTCGCACTTGAAATTTGGCCAAAGGCACAAACAGAATGCGAAATGCAATTAATGAAAACTGATTACGCGCAGTGGGCTGCCACATAATGTCGGTGTCGGAAATTCTCAGCTTCGAATTATTGCTGCTCTCCAGACTGCAATGTCTGTTTACATTTTGCATTGCCATTTCCCCATTTTACCATCGTTCTCCTTTCTATACCCGGTACTCGACGAGTTAAAGGTGTATATTAGATTTGTGGTTGAATTGATGCGACTAAGGCACAGATGGAAACCGAGTCGATATAACCATGTCTGTTCATCGGTAATGTAAAACATGAAAAACAAGAAAATCATAAGTAGTGATGCGTTTGAACGCGTCTCACAACGTTCCTTGCCGATGGGTGTGCCTGTTTTCAATGAAATTGTTCGGCAAATAAAATTGGGAATATATGCATGTGGTGGTTGCTCTTCCTCAATTGTGCCCCCCTCTCTGTGTCCCTCTCGATTCATTTGTTTATTGGTATATTTGTTTACTTTTGGGCTTGAGGCTGTTGGCAAATATTCGGGCACTTAAATCGCAATGATCTATGCTCTTAGTGTACTATAAATGCACCTCTATATGTGTATGTGTAGCTGTATATAGCAGAATCGGAATTGGAATCTGAATCACAATCCGAATTCGAAATTGTTTACGAAGTTTCAACGCTGCTCAAAGATCTTTGCTGTGCAATTTCTTTCGTCGTTGAATGTGTCCCAACTTATACTACGAATACGAATCCATATAGTATATTGCATGCCTCCTCTCCTCTGAGGCATATTTCACATTTTGGCCCGCTGCTCGACAATTAATGCATTCATTTCAACTGACAGAAAGATGACCGCCCGAATATTTATGTGTAGATTTATGTTCACAGCTTATGAGATTATTTTTCGGATTTGTTCATGTGAAATAGCACCCGTTGCCCCATCGAATTAGAACTCAATTAGTCGTAGAGTACTTGTAAAAATGCAATAGTAGTTGGGATCGTTAAACCAGACAACTGGCCTGATGTATTTCATTGTTCTCTGCTCAGGTCAGCAGAGTGGAAGAGGTTGATTTCATCAGCTGGGATGGAATGCGCTTTCAAGAGTTGTGGGTAAATCGAATTTCCATCTCTTCGCTTCAAACTCCACTCAGTTGTGCTCGCAATATTTCATTTTCCATTTCGCATTTCCCACTTTGCCAATTTCGATGCACCGCATTAAAGTTGTACTTCCGGTTGGCCACATCCTTCCTTCTTTCACTTCCAATGCCCCAGCCAGTGCTGCCCCACAGGTAGTTCTGCCCAAAACAACATGCTGTTGGTTGCCAATGGTGCTCCAGTTTTGATGGCAACATGAGCCAATAGCCGCCATTAAATACGATGGTCAGCACAATGTCCTCCCCTGTGTATCTAGAGCTTGAAGCCAGAGGGGAAACTTTCGATGCAACACTGTTTTCACACTCACGCCACGCACTCTTCTATTCGTATTTGTGCTACTCGAATGGAAAACAAACAAAATAAACGTCGCACTAGTGGACGAGACGGGTTTTCCTACGCTTACATAACGCTCAAATCTCCTCCCCGACGATGGGAGCCAATGGCTCCTGATGAGCGCGGTTCATTGGTCCCCACAATGGCCACGCACATTCCGAAATTGATTTCGATTTCGATTTCGTTTGATTTTGCTTGCATCAGCAGCAGAAAGGAAGAGAAACCCGAACACAAACCGATACTGACTAGTAGAAAAGCAGCGAAAAAACATGTTGAATTGGTGGAAACTGCTTTTGCTTTGCCTGATTGTTGCTGCTGTTACCATTTCCTGGCCATGGACATTGTACTCTCCTCCTGCAGCAGCAGCAGTAAGATTGGAAAACTTGATATTCAAGTTGTGCCATCGCAAGCGGAAAACGCATTTCCCAACAAGAGCGCATAGTTTCCCAGAGCTGTCGTCGTCCACTTTTAGTCGTCGTTGTCGTTGTCGTCGTCGTCGTCGTCGTATGTTGCTCTAATTGCACGACAAACTCTCGAGCAACTTTCACACACTTTTGGCGCTGTATTTGGAGGTGAAGCACCCGCAAAGCGTTTTCCCCTACCTCAGCCCCTGCCCCTGCCCCATTTGATGTCCATAAACGTCACATGTCAGGGAGAAAAGTGAAATTTTCCTTGTGTATGCCTCCAGGCAGCGGATATTGTTGAACTCGTCGTAGTAGGAAGTAAATGGTCGATACGATGCCGTTCTAGAGACGGATTTCTAGGAGTTTGCATCAAGTAATTAATATTTAGATCAGATTTGATACAGGCCAGAGACACGCCGCCGTGCGAAGGCCTCGAGAATGTGGAAGACATTTTAATGTAATTAATTTTAAACGCAGATCTCTGATGAGCTTGTCTGCTGTGTATCTGGGCTAAAGTATGTGGGTATGGTATGCCATAAATATGCCAGAATAACAATATACAATGCCTGACACCTCTAACATCTCTCTCCCTCTTGGCCATTCTCTATGTGAGTGTGTATCTCGACACCCGCTGACAGCAAATACTAATAAGCATAATGAATGAACGAACGAATGAAAGAAGGAGCAAATGAATGGGGGGCAAGTGGCAACCAACCAGCTGAGTTGCTGTTTTCCCTCAACGCGTTGAACTTGTGCTGTCACCTGTGAAGGCAACGATGGGGGCCCCCACAGCACAGCCATAGCTAGGTCCCTCCCTGGTGGTGACCCTGGCAAATGTATTGAAATCTACACCCAGAGTATAATCTATTCGCACATGAGCCCACAAGAATCGTCTGCTTTTCGTCGTTTTGGCCTGGCCCAAACTGCTGTCGTTGGCTGCTGCCGGGTTTAATTAATTTCTATATTAGATACACTTCATTAAAAATGCTTTGAATTCGGATGTAGATGGGTGTGTTTGTGTCCGTTGTGCCATTGCATTGTCAAATGTGTGGACCCATTGTTGTGGTCTGTTCTTGGCAATCGAAAGGAATTCAATGATTGAGCAGCACAAATGCGGCTCGGATGGGGATTTATAATATAAATAGACGGCCCCAATGCATACCTAATGGCTTGTAAGAGATGCATGGTCCAAGAGCTCCAAATCCTGCCGACAAGCACTTGCATAGGTCAGTAAATCTGCTTGTACGTACGTATGTACTACGTACCCAAAACCAAGACAAGTCGAGTCTTTCTGTCAACCCATTCCGGAGGCTTTGGCAGTGCCAGCAATTAACGCACTCAAAACCGCCCCCCCAGGGCCAATAGGATGGGGAAATTGGGTCAAGTGCGGCTAAGAGCAAAGCGAAGCTCAGCTCAGCTCAGCCCGGCTCGACTCGGTCCCTGCATTTAGACTCGGCTTAATGAAATGCACTTCTGCTCTCATTAGGCAATCCATTTTGCGACTGTACACGAGCGGATTCCAGCCCTCGAGAGAGTGATGGTGAGAATGAAGGAGTCCGCCACGCACATGGCAGGGCACCAGCACCAATTATCAAATGGTTAAATTATTTCAAATAGCAAGTGACAGCTTTCTCCATGTAGCTGTCAGTTTTGGGTATATTTAAAGCATTTGGATTGGCATACAATGAAAGGGTTTGTGCCAGATGTGCCAGCCAGGCTGCCACTTAATGCAACTTTGATGTTTTTCTGGCCACGCACCCACCGAGCAAGAAGTTTTCACCTGCTGGTGGATTATCCGAGAGGAAAAATCCCTACACTACAACCAGTAAATAAAAACTTTTGCGGTTAAAGTTTTTGTGCCTTTGTTTTGGTTGCTGCTGCACCAAAAGTATTCCTGCCGCTCTCGCCGCTCATCCAAATGGACTTCTCATTCGCATGGCATTCCCTGGCACTTGCCACAATAGCCACGTTTCACTCTCTCTCACACTTGCACGCTCGCACACCGACAAAAACAGATGCAGAGACACACAAATGCATTCCGTGTCGAGTCATTCTGGTTGCGCACTCTTCCATGGTAGAGCCCGACGAAGGGCGGAGCGGATCTGGTGCGGCTGTGGCTGTGGCTGTGGCAGCCAAGCGGAGTGTGGGGATATGGCCACGGCTTTTTGGCAACAGCAACTTTGCTTTGTCATGTGCCATATTTCTTTCTCGCCCGGCAACTGTGCATCTTTTGTTTAAGACCTGCAAATGGGGAGGAAAACACCATTAAGGAATTTCACCCGCTCCATCAACGACACATCGAATTAACTCAGCACAGATGTCTCTCTCTTTTCTCATGATATTTCTGCGATTGCTATCAATAAGAGTTATCTCATTGCCAAAGTGTTTCCTCTCGTTGTCACACGAATTTCCAGCATTCACATTCAGTATTTCCTTCGATGTTAAGCCTTTAAGCTCTAGCACTCTTTTTCCTGCAAGATTTCATTCGTTGGCTATCGAATGGTCCACATATCGATATTATCCATCATTAATTACCATCATAGTAGGGTGGCAACGCCTGACCAAAGTCACGAACCTTTTAGAAGTTTTCAAATTGAAAATATAGTAGGCCGGTCAAGGTTTACCAGTCAAGGAATTGAACTCAAAAATCATTAGTCGCCAAGTCGTCGAGCCGCACGGAGTTACACAAGGAACTCAGAAAACAAAACTAAAAAAAAAAACCAAAAAAAAATCGGAAAAAACCAACAAAAAACTGTATAGGAAAAAAAAATTGTGTTAGTGAAATCGTTTTTCTGCGCTTTTCTTTCG